GAAAAGAACAGCTACTGCAGTGTACAGTGTGAGCCAATTTTTAAAAAAAAATGTTTTATCTTACCTAGTATAAGACACAACATTTTTACCGTGAAAACAGAAAGGCAAGTGTTAAAAGGGCCAATGTGCAGCACTTAGAATGAAATATGTCTAACATAACAAGTCATCCTGTCTGGGCTTGCACAAAGCCACACCTTTACACATCAGTCAGAAGCTGGCCTCTCAACGGGTTTTATTTCCCCAAAGAATGGTTTTGATCTGCTAATGTAAATTCTGCAGGAAGCATCAAAAACTTAAGGCTGCAGTATAACTTTAAATTGACCCAAAATTTAAATGTACAATGATGAAACTCCTAGCCAGGAAAATGAATAGTAGAATGAAAAACCAGTTCAAAGATTAATTTTGAAGGAAATGCCAAAAATGTTTTTAAAGATACTTCCTGCAGCTTTTGTCTTTCCTTTATATTACAGAGAAATTCTTTTCTCACAGTGGGATTTTAAATTAATTTATAATTATACACACTTGCAGGGGATGAGAGAGAAATGACCTAATTATAGACCAAATGGATACCCTCTGGCTATCCTGCAATTAGAGCTACTAGGGTAATAGATGCACTTTATCCTGCATTGAGTGGACTCAGTGGTTAACCTGGCAGTGAGTGTTGAAAGTGGTTCACTTAGTCCACAGTAAAATGTCAAAATGCGTGCAAATTATTGGAAGAAAAAACAAACAGATAAAACTAAATTTGAAATGTAATTGTGAAACTGAAACTTCTCCTGCCCTGAACAGATACAAGCGCAAACTGTGACCATCTAGGGAGAAAAAATAAGCAAAGGTTTTTAATGCTGTCTCTGTATCTAACTAGATTCTAATTAGTTACAATTATGTTGCCAGGGAATAACAGCTACAGTGACACTGAAGAAGAAAATTCCCAGTTCTAACATAATTCCCACCATTTCTTTAGATTTCTCTTTTTTGGTGAGATTTAGTTAGAAATGGCAGAGGAAGCAAAAGGTCTTAACAGGTAGCTAACAGGGTCACTGAAGCAGCAAATTCCTTTTTAGTAATTCTTTGGCCTTCTTATTTTTCTCTCTGTATACTCTACAGCAAAGAGAATAATTGCTTTTACAATGTGTACTCAATTCTTTTCCCTTCTTCCAGCCAAGAGGGCATTTCTCTGCCTGTTCTTTCTGTACCAACCCCCAAACAGGATACCTAACCTGCATTTTGAAGAGTCACGTTCTTTGTCTAGTTAGCAAAAATATTCTGACTATGGAGACCCTAAAATCCATATGAAACACTTAGCAAATGATTAAATGACATGTTACTGAGAAGGAGAAAAAGAGCCAACAATGTACTTTTTATGTGTTGGGAGAAAAATCAACAGAACAAAATACTGTCATGGTGTGTGCAAGTGTACAAAGTGTGTACAACAGCTACACTGAGTGTATCGATGAGATGAGGATATCGGGACCCAGTCTGTGCGCACTGAGGTGGATTGTGAGAGTGTGTGACCATTGATTGCAAAGGCGATTCTTGCAATTTCAAGTGATTAATTATTTGGTACCCTATACTGTTTTCTTATATATAAAATGGGATTATCTAAAGCTGTGGGATAGTAAATACTTAAGGGATAAATATTTTATAGCATTATTGATACACTTACGTGATTGTGTTAAACAAAATTATGTAACATTCTTTTAATGAAGTACACATTTTTTTGAAAGCCATTGGTTAAAAAATAGTTTGTCTAGATTTTCTAGCTATAATTCATGCAGTACTGCTTATTTTTGAATAATAACAAAACATTTCAAGTATTTTTTTTTTACATTTCAAGTATTTACCCAAATCCTGTAAAGTGTAATCTTGAGATATTCTATTCTCAGATCCCTATACAACAGATGTAGTCTAAAAAGAAGAACCATTCAAGCAAATCAGATTATAAAAGTCTAAGCAAAATTCATAATTATTTATTGTGTGCCAGGTATGGTGGAAAAGACAGAGCATGAGTTTAGAGTGTACAGGGTGAGCTGGACCTAGACTTGTAGGAAAAAAGATAGTGGTGGAAATTTTAAGAGAATAAACACAATTTTTTCCACTTTCATGTTGCTAAAGGTAAGTGCGAATATGCTTAAGGATGAGATAGCCATCGGAATAAAAAAAGAAAACCGAACTTTTAAATCAGAGAACTCTGGGATCAGACTATCCAATTCCATTTCCCAACTCCACCACTTATGGAACTACTCACTTTGAGTGGTCTCTGAATATTTTTTCTTCACTTCTTTCCTCTTCAAAATGGGTATGATAATGATACCAACTTACTGTTGTGTTAAATCTGTTAATATATGTAGAAATTTGAGGACTGTACCTATTTTATGGAAATCCTTTGATAAATGTTGGCTATCATTGTTACGGTTATCATTAGGGGAGGGACAAATTGACTGGACAATGGTGTTTGACACATAGGTCCTTAATAAATATTTTGAATGACCAAATGAATTAATATGGAAAAATGCAAAAAGTTAATAAGGTATTTTAATAAAGAAAAACATGAGAAGACAAAAAAGCACAATTATCAAAATAAAGGTAGGTAAAATATATTACTCTATTGAAAAATGAGGACTTTTGTATTAATAGAAAAAAAGTTCATATATGTTCTGTCTCTCAAACATCACTCTTCAAACAAAAATGAAAGAGTGATGTTGAAAATGTAGGGTAGATCGTGCTATAGCATGCAAATGAAAACCAATAGAAAGCAGGTGAGCAATATCAGATAAAGAACTCAAAGTAGACACACATTAAATGTGAGAGAAGAATGTTATCTTAAGATAGAAGATATGATATAGAATGAAGATTAGCAAAAATGTACCACTCTGAATATAAGGTTTTATACCATATTGAAAGGAATAACTCATATAAATATAAAGAGAAACTATAAGATCTCAGAGTAAGAAGGTACAACGTATTTGTCTTATACTTTACCAATTAAGTAGCCAAAATGATTGAGTAGTGATCCTGATGTTCTTATGCCCCTTTTTGATAAATATACAAATTTCACATCTTTACATGTTATTTGAAATTTCAAAATAAATTGTATTATTAGTACAATAAAATTAATGGTAAATATAATTTTTTGAAATTATAGACACTGTATATAATATGATATACCAAGCAGGAATTTATGGAGAGGAGTTGAAAAACCACTGTAATACAAAATCTGAATAATATAGTTAATTCATAAACATACCAGATAATCTTCACAAAGAAAACACATGTTATTTTAGAATATTTATGAGGTATTTACAAATATTGGTAATAAGGAAAACATGAATACATTCGCCAATGCATAGTTTGAAACATACAAAACTGCTCTCTCACAAGCCACAAAGCAACCTCACAAAGACAAACCTAATCACAATTGCACAGTCTGTTCACCTATTGCAACAGTATTTGTAAATTCATAACTAAAGGTTAAAATGCATTTTCCCTCGGAAAATAATTTTTTGAACACCCTTTAAATGTATATTGATAGGGACAACGAGAACAAAAACCAACACTTCATGCTATTTAAAAATTCACAGCAATGCGAAGAGCATATACTATAATCTTTAGCATTTGTTATCACCCTCTGTTGTCTGTGTGAGTCCAGGTCTCCATTTTGTTTATACCAGCACACCCCTACCTTTTTTGTTCTCTTGAATTGAAGTTTTTGGTAACGATTTGTTTGAATAAAAGGTCTCACTACTGAGGACTAACTCCAGAACAAAGAGAGAAGAACTTGTTAACTTGAAAAGGAATAAAACAATAAATACAGGAAAAAATAATAAATTAAAAAGAAGACTTTAATAGAATTGATGGCTAAACTCCAAAGCTAGAAAATCTAGTAAGAAAGCCAAATGAAAATTCATGCTCTGACATTAGGAATTAGACTAAATAGATAAAAAGCAAATATAATTTAAATTTGGGGCTAATGTATGTGTGTGTGTGTGTGTGTGTGTGTGTGTGTGTGTAGTATGTGTGAAATATGCATCAATAGAAGTGAAGCAATAAAGATTAAAAAAGGAAACCCCCAAACAAAACAAATGATAATGAAGTAAAGCACTCCTCAGTAGAATAAAAAGTATAAAGAGTGAGACAACTCATAAAAGAATTTATTCCCAAACTCTTGGTTTTAAAAATGAGCTCTGTCAAGCATTCAAGGAATAGATATAGATAATATTGAAATGATATTAGGATAATATTTCCATTTCCTGAGGCTTGATACTTCTAAACATCACTAAGATAGCATAAGAAAGAACACTATATATTCCCATATGAATATAAATAAAACATTTCTAAAAAAAATTATTATCATGTTCAACCAGATACTGTGTTTGAAGAGTGTAGTACATAATGCAATTCAAGATAGTGGTTGATTTGGTAGGACACAGACAAGGGACTGACATACATAGAAAGACATAAGATATAACAAATGCTTTTTTTAAAAAAGATTTTAGTTATTTATTCATGAGAGACACAAAGAGAGAGGGGGACAGAGACACAGGCAGAGGGAGAAGCAGGATCTATGCAGGGAGCCTGATGTGGACTTGATCCCGGTTCTCCAGGATCTCGCCCAGGGCTGCCCCAGAAATGCTCTAATTCCTAGCCTGGGTTGAGATTTATTGAGAGTGTTTTTTAAACTTATGTTTTATTACTTACACATATGTTGCTTAAGTTCTTTGACATCTACTATCTACCATCTATTAAAAATAACAGAAGAAAAAAGAAAATAAGATTATACATAGTAGATTTTACTTAAGTCCAAGAATGTAAGGTTTGTTAAACACTGGCAAATATTGTGATGTGACTTCTCATATTAGTGAGAAAAATGTATCACCATGTAAATGATTAAAAAACAAACAGCTGTAATTCAGCAAAAATTACTTTTTAATATAACAGAATATTTATTTTTTTAATGTAACAGGACATTTAATTACATTAGTTTCCCATCAACACATTGATCATTTAATGGTGATTATATTACCCATTTCCATTGGTTCTACTAAAGGCTCCCATGGTTTCCCCTGTACTATTTTTCTTGCCAGACCTACTTCATTTTCAGACTGAAGAGTTACCTCTAAATAGCCACCCTGAAGTTGGTCTTCTAATTTCTTATCATCTGGTTCCACCTTAACTATGCTCAGCTTTTCTTTTGTAATCTGTTCTGTATACTTTCTATATGCTGCATTTTTAGGAACTTGCTCAAGAACATCAAGAATCTTTGTGTACAATATTCTTAGCCACTTGTGTGGATTTTTACAACTAGCCAATCCTACAAAGCCAGTGGTGGTCTTCAGTAGATCTGTCATGACAGCCATTCAGCATTCATTCTTATAAAATTTTTTAAAAGACCAAGTCCATGGTAAACGAGGTGTAGCTATGAAATAAGATGTTCTGTGAACCAAGAGCAGATATTATGGTGAATAGAGGTGCACTCTATGTTCTTTTAATAACAAGAAGAAAATACCAACGCCTGCTTTTACCTCTACAATGAACAGTGTTCTAACAGTGTTCTGATATGTAAAACATAAGATAATCAATTGCAAAATTGATTTGAATGAATAAAAATTTAAAGAGGTGGCCATTTATTTAGTAAATATACCAAAACATATATACCCTATATATTTCCCTATTACCAATTAGAAAATGCAATAGAAAAATAAGCATTATATTCACAATATCAAATAATTTATAAATTATTTAAGAATAAACCTAATAAAAGACATAGAAGACATATGTAATTATGAAACTATACTGAATGTCATAGAATAAGAGCTGAATAAAAGAAAAGACATGTTATTTTCCTGAACCGTAAGAATAAATAATTTAAATGTATAAATTTTTAAAAATTAATCTATAGATGTAATTCTAATAAAAAACTCTTGGTGTAGTTTACTTTTTGAATAAAATCATTCTTAATCTTGAAGAATAAATATGGAAGAATATGGTTAGGAAATTTTGAAAACAAAATCATTTATCCTATCACATATTAAATCAGGTATGAAGGTATAACAAATAGCATCTTTCTAGAAGTAGATTAGAGTAGAAACACCTACGTGGTTCAGTCAGTTGAGGGTCTGACTCTTATTTTGAGCTCAGGTCATAAACTCACAGGTCGTGAGATCAAGTGCCACATTGGGTTCTGCACTCAGCAAAGTGTCTGGTATAAGATTCTCTTCCTCTGTCTCAACTCTCACTCAAGTGTGTGCTTGCTCTCTTTCTCTCTCTCTCTCTCTCTCAAATAAACAAACAAATAAACAAACAAATCTTCAAAAAGAAAAAAAAAGTAGATTAGAAATAGACTATAATGGTAAAATAAATTAAGACAAGTATAGGTAAGTATTATGTTATTAAAATAAGCCATAATATTATGGCCCATCAAACCATTAAGTAAAAAGCGAACTGTTTTATTTAATGGTACTACAAAACAAGTTAACCGTATTTTATGGACAATATTACATTGTTATCTCATACTTCATCTTTAACTAAATTAAAAACTACCAGAAAATCCATAAAATATTTTATGCAAATTGGTGAATATACGAACAATTGTCCTGTGGGGTCAGGCCTTTCTATGCATGGCCAATTGCAAAACCATAGGGAAATGTTCATAGATTGGCAGATACCGTAACAACAAAAGCCATTAATGAAAACAGAACGAGATAAAACAAGAATTTCAGAATGGTAGAAAATCACTATAAATGGTACTAGAAAGCAGACCACAAATCTGAAAAAAAATTCTACTGTCTATAGGCAAATGACCAATTCTGATATGGAACCATTTCTTTCCAGTTGATAAGCAAAAAATGAACATCTTAATGGAATATTGAGCAAAGATATAGCAAGGGATTAAAAATTAATAAATTAAAATAGACAATAAATGAACAAAATGAATAAAAATATGTTTAAATTCAATAGCAAACAAAGAAATGCAAAAAAAAAACAAAACCAAGATAGTATTTTCCATCTATCATATTTTCAAAGAATAAAATAAATACTAATAGTATATTAAGATGTTGGAAAGTAGCCAAACTTCTCTTGTAACTTAATAAAAACTTTCTAAAGAGCTATTTAAAAAAAGTATCATGTGCATACCTCTAATCCAACAATTCCATTTTTAGTCATTTCTCCTAAGGAATAATAAACTCAAAATTCCAAATAATAGTAGATTTATTATAGAGTTTAGATTGTTAGATAATTTAGATATATAGATAAGTGTTGAATAATAGCAACTTAGTAAATAAATCACAGTTATACAATGACCCATTTAGTCATGCTAATTATATATGATTAAATATATCAATGGAGAGAGATGAACAAGCACATTATAAATTAGGGTGCCTACTATGGTCTCATTTTTACATGAAAATAGAAACCTCCCCACTCTCTGTATGTATACACATATGTATGTATGTTATAGGCTGAACTGTGTCCCCTCAAAATTCATATTTTGAAGTTCTAGCCCCCAGAACCTCAGAATGTGAATATATTTGGGGATAGGACCCTAAAAGAGATGATCACATTAAAATAAGGCTATTAGGGTAATCCAGTCTGACTGGATTGGATCTTATAAGAAGAGGGAATTTGGATAGAGAAAGCATCACAAGGGATGCAGACATGCACAGAAAAGGCCACCTGAGGACACAGTAAGAAGGCAGTCTCCTGCAAGCCAAAAGAGAGGTCTCAGAAAGCACAGACCTGCCTATACCTTATTATTGGATTTCTAGTCTCCAGAATTTAGGGAAAATAAATTTCCGTTGTTTAAGTCACTCATTTGTAATACTTTGTTACGCTAGCTCTAGCAAACTAATGCTATATGTTTGTGTGTGTGCATGCATCTGTTTATGTGTGTGTATAAATATTACATATAAACTATATTACACATATGATATATATATATATATATGTTTATGTGGATACATATATAATGTTTTCATATATATAGATAGATATTTAAAAGCCTATAATATATCCCATAATGTCAATAGTGGTTATTTCTAGATATTACTTATGGTTTGGGGCATATTTTTCTAGATGTTTATAATAATATTTTTTTATAAGAACAAAATAAAGGCATTTTAATTCACAAAAAAAAAAGAAGCTCAGTACCCAACAGATTCTTGGTTTTTACATCTAGTATAATGCCTTATGTATAGAACAGGCACAATAAAAATTATAATGATTAAAATAAGGACTAGATTGTATGAATTGACAGGTTTTCTTAAAAGCACAAAAAAGCTTCGTGGAGACACAGTATCTCAGCTTCTATCATATTCAGTTCTATGTTTTCATGGTAGTGAAAACATTCTACCCAGGAGGAAGATGCATAGGATTCATATATTTGATTCTTAAGTATGTTTACTTCTATTTTTCTTTTGAGAAGTTTCTTTAAATTATAGATTTTATTTTTAGGCTTGATTGGCATCATCTTAACTTTTTCCCTGACATTTGATTTGTGTTTTTTTCTGACATTTGGTTTGTTGTTTTTGTTGGTTTGTTTCCCTGACATTGCATTTTGGTTAGTCTATGTATAGACTTGGTGAAATGGCTCCCTGACTATCAGGTTTCTCTTCATGTGGCCCATCATCTCCCTGTTTCCAGCTCTGAAGCTACCATGGCATATTGATAAGTGAGAATGGATAGAGAGCCCCAGTGTCTGACATAGATAAAGCTATGAAAAAACACCCGGCAGGGGCAAGCCCCAGGTCCAAATAGGTCTTGTTAGATCTGTATAGATACTTTAGAGTTCCTCTTTCTGAACATTATGTTTAATCATTGTACAGATGCAAGCCATTTTCCCTTTGCCCCTAAACTCTGGATCCTGAGATCACAAATCTGTACCTCCTGCAGGCATGTATCTTTTATTAATGGAAACATCAAAATTCCGGTGTAGCTTTGGCAACTCAGTTTGCAGAGAATTTTTAAGCTATTTTGAGTGCTCCAGAAAAGTAAGATGCATATCTGGTATTAAAAAATGTCATGCAGCAATGGAAATCTAATCAATTATGTTACAGATGAAGGAATAAATGACCTTGGTTATTAGTGAAACTAGTTAATAGAAGCAAGTAAGGTTTATGTGTGACAGAGACATTATCAATTAATAGCTCCTGGGTTTTCAGTACCTTGTAAATAGAGTAAATTAAAATAAAATAAAATATCCTTCTCTTCAGACCTAGAATCTTAAGAGTCATCAGAAATTTATCTCCTCCCTTTGGCTCAATCATTTAAGCTTTTTCAAAGATACATTAGATACTTTAATGAAAGCAAGGCTGGTCATGGAAAGGGGGAAATCTTAAGTTTCTGTGACAGTGTAAAATAGAAAGCATACAACTAATGTCATTTATCTAATAATAACCACCACTGAAATTTGTGTGTTCAGGGGTGCTACAACTGGAAAATTGAAATAGAAAGACCTCATGTTGGGAGTGTGTGTTGCTTCTCAGAGTCAAGCTTCTCAGGAGTTTGAGCTCAGCATTTCATCAAAGGAGGGAAGCTTTGCATGTATTCTTCTGAAAATTCCCACAATACGATGTTAATTTAATTTTCCACAGCTTCTCTGGGGAATAGCTTTGCTGAGGCTTCCATTTCTGTGGCTTCATGGCACAGCGTTTATGAGGTTTGGGTTCAATGACTTTGCTTATGTGGATCCTGATGCACTAACCTTGCCTCCATGTTGGCCAAAGTAAGGAAAGATAGGTATTTTCAACTTCCTGTTTGTAAGGAAGTTAGATGATGGAGGTTAAAAACCAAACTACTTTTATAGAGAACCTGAGAGATATGAAATGGAAAGTTTCAATTTGAAGTATAGAGCGGTTTTCTAAATGAACAATATTGATGAAAAAAATTCTGTTAGAGAAATATCCTAAAGAGGCACCTGGGTGCCTCAGCCCATTAAGCATCTGCATTCAGCTCAGGTCATGATCTCAGGGTCCTGGGATCGAGCCCTGAGTCAAGCTCCCTGCTCCTCTGGTTGCCTGCTTCTCCCTCTCCCTCTGCCTGCCACTGCCCCAACTTGTATTCTCTCTCTAACAAATAAATAAGATTTTTAAAGAAAAGAAAAAAAAGTCCCAGGAAAGATATACTTAAGAACTGTAAATTAGATCCTTTCATTAAATCTAGTTAATATTGAATTTTTAACAGTAAAACCCTTGTAGTAGGTAACACTAAATGCTTATTATGTGCCGGAGACTAATTACCTGATGTCACTCAGTTAATTAAGTGATAGAACCAGGTTTAAACTCATTTAGCTGAACTCAGAGTCTTGTTAACTACTAAGTTGTATGATTCTCTTTTATTATGAAGTGGTGAGAGATCGAAA